ATTGCATAACCCGCATATTGAAGGGGCAACATGCAATACTTTCTTTTTACAGCGTTGCCATATTGAACAATAATCCCTATACAACGCTGTAATTTAATTCATATTTTTCTGCACAATTTGGCTAAAAACTTTTGTGCTCAAGTCGGCATTTTCACCCTACTCTTATCTGGGGTGATTTAAGGGAGCACGTGGCGTAAAATGTGTCTATAGGTTCGTGTTTCAACTTGATTTATAAATTAAAAAATAATTCTTTATAATTATAGTCTGTTCGAGATGGGAAGAACCGTGGAAAGTCGTAATTAATTGCACTATGTAGAAGCAAGGGTACAGCGTTCGAGCCATTGTAAGAGATGAAGACACAGAATCAACCCTGTGTCGTGGCGCACCGCACTGAGGGCTGGCTCCTCATGAGTCGCTTGCCGCATCGCGCAGCTCGGCGCCTAGCACAGGAATTTGCGGCTCCAGGTTCATATCCCGGGGACATCGAAAAGTGACAGTTGACGAGGGTCGAAACACCCCCACCCTGCGAAATAGTGCTAATTATTCCGACTTTCCACGGTTCTTCCCATCTCGAACAGACGATATACGGCGTATTTATCTTGATTTCAATCTGATTAAACATTAAAAAAATAACTATTCCGGTATTTACCTTTTAGTGTAATTGTAATGTTTCTCAATCTTTTTATCATATTTAACAGAAAGAATTACCTACACTCAAAAGACTAAAGATAGAATTACTTGTTTAGCATTGATGACTTGAAAACACTAATTTGCATCGCAACATTATATACTTTGAGCTCTCACTCTAATTTACATGTAAGGAACTAATACGAGCATTGTTTCCCGAATTGTTTATTGATATTTTCCTCCCTGTGCAAAGAAAACTTACTAATAATTTCAAGAATTAATTTTTGTTTGTTTTCACTTCCGAAGAATAAAATTTTGCATCGTTGTAATGCATCTGTGTCATTTGACGGAAGCCGCGGAAACTCATCTAACAAATTGATATCATCTTATTATGAATTTTTCTCAGTTGCCAAAGAAAATGAAAATAGATTACAATCTCTTAAACATACCTATGATCAACTTAGTTTAATAAACAGAACTAATACTTTATTAACATTTTCAGACAATCCTCTTTTCTATGCTAAAGGATCTTACGTTTATTCTTATTAAGGAAGTCTTTACGTTTCAAAACATCCCGAGGGATATTTTTATTTTGTCACTAACACACCGGATAGTGTTCCTTTAAAAAATATTAATTTTTTGTTTTTCAACCCGTGAATGTCTACTGGTAATAAGTGCTCCTGTATTATGTAAACATAAAAAAAAGAAACAAAAAAAAAATTAAGGAGAACCAAGTCTTAGTTCTGTTAGATAAAATCGACTATTAATTAGAACGGACGTTAACAACTTTCAAACGCTATACTTATTGTCTCCTTTTGTGCTTTTAATTGTACAGCTTATAAAGTTGTGCATTAAAACGAAAGGAGCTTCCATTCTAGTGAGGGATTGGACAGGGGGGCTAAAAAATTTTCACTGTGGGGGGCGGGAAGCTACCCATCCACAGGTAGAGGGAGAGTACCAATTCTCTAGGGGGAGGAGGAGAGCTTCTATTCAAGAGAGGGAAAGGAGGTCTACTCGGGCAGCGAGATGGATAGGTGAAGGGTTGCAGGGGAGGGACGCATAGTGCATGCGTCCGGGGGAGGAATGTCTCCCCTCCCCCTCTCGCAGAATTTCGGGAGTAGGTGAGGAGCTGGGTTGCGGGGAGAGGGACCATTGCGCCCCCCCACACCCCTCCCCCTACGCGGTGCATACTCACACATAAAAGCTGGGCCCGGGAAAACCCGGATGCGCTTGCCGACTGCGACGGCGCAGTTTACCGAGTCATTTCGGCCCTGTTTCGGCCTCTTTCGCCGAGTCAACCCGGGTCCTTTCCCCGGGATTCTCGGGGTGCTTGACCGAGGAGATACGGGATTTAAATTTCCGAGTCAACCCGGCGGCCGTCACCGTGCCTCCACGGTCTTCCGTTGGAGCACGGGAGACTCGATCGGCTCCTTCTGCCGGGATTTTCGGCAACTCTCCCCGGGTATTTTTTTCAGTGTTTGTTTTGCCGGTTGAAAATGCGGGTGTGATCCCTGCGAAACGTCCCGGGCTTTTTATTTTATTTTATGTGTTTTTCTTTTTATTATATGCGGCCTTAGTCCCGATTTAATTTGTTTCTTTGTTAAAATTGATAAGGTGCATTTCGAGAGAAATACTTGCACTAAGTGAGTTCGTAGGTTTGATGACGTCTCACTTCCAAAGCATTGAAAATTTGAAGCTCTTCGTTAAAAACATTCAGACCTTTGTTTGTCAAAATTTGACCATCTGCCCAGGCACTTAATAAAATGTCTCATTTCAATATTTCACCGCGACATAGGTATGTATTGGAAAGACATGCATCCAAAGTTGTTCATTTTAGGAGAGAGGATGAAACATAGTGCCTGCTCTGATATTTGTATCATCAGATTTTTGGTAACGGTCGGATCTGATGCCTCTAAATAATGCTCTGTTGTCCGTCAAATGATCAAACCATTCAAGAAACTATATTTATCTCATACCGAGTGTCCCAAAAGTCCGTACCCGTCCTTCTAAAATTTTTCTTAATTGAACTATTGAGATGAAATTTTGGGAATGTTTCTAGGTTAAAGAAGTCTACTTTCTGGCACATCGAAAATTTGGCATATCCAAAAAACATCACCCTCCCTAAGAGGGGGGGGGGTCCCAACTTTTTGTTCCAATGACACCCCTTCCCTCTTGTGATATTTCGTTTAAAAGAGGATAAAAATACCTAGAGTCCCTTTATACTGAGAGTCAAGGCAATGTGAATTCATTTCTGATTGGTTACCATATTTTAGGCCTCCATAGTATCACAAACGGGAGTAAAGATTACATTTTCACCGATAGCAAAGATTTTACGGGTTCGACAAGGAACAAACGGAATACCTAAGAGAGGGAACGGCGAAAGGAATTTGAGAATGGGCCGATCAAAGATTCCGGAAAACGTCCAATTTGCGTAATCTTCATTCCCGTTTGTGACTCCACGAGGGGGTGTTGTCTTGACTCTCAGTATAAAGGAAATCTAGATAAAAAAGACATTTTTTTCAAGATGACCGCCGGAAATGGCGAGAAATTGGCATTCTAGCCATCTGTCGATGAATTTATCTAAAACTCAGTATCCAGGCATTTTTTTAGACGTGAAAATGAGTCTGGTGAGATTAATCAAAAAAGCTAATTTTTGTTCAAAATGACGGAAAATTGGAATTTGTAACGTTTACTAATGGATTTGCATCAAATTTGATATCCAGGGGTATTTACGGATAAAAAAAAACAAAACAAATATGGTCTTATTTTTTAAATTCACCGAGAACTTTCAAAGTGGCGGGGAATTGGCATTTTAGGGGGAAGTTGGTTACTTTGAGAACAGCTCATAAGACTCGACATTCTCATCTCAAAAAATCACCCGATACTGAGTTTCAGATAAATCCTTTTAAAAAAAAGAAAAAATGCCAATTTCCGCCGTTTTGAAAAAAATTGGCTTTTTTTAAAAAAAAATCTCACCAGATTCGCTTTTCTTGTCAAAAAAATCTCCGTATACTGATTTCAAATAAATCTGTCGACAAATAACTAAAACGCCAATCTCTGCTATTTTCGACCGCCATCGTCCCACCTACATCTTGAGAAAAAAATGAGGACGGTGACTTACGGATTGCGGATACAAATTACCTCTTTTATCCTCTTTCGAACGAGGTATCACAAGGGAGGGGTTGCCACTTGAAAAAAAAGTTGTGGTCCACTCCCCTTGGGGTGGGGGGTGGGGCGAAAATTTGTTCGATGAATTTCGATACAAATTTTCGATAGGCCAAAATGTAGTTCCCTTTGACTCAGAGACATTCTTCAAGTTTCGTCTTGATCACTCAATTAGGGAAAAGTTTAAAAGGGGAAACACGGACTTTCGGGACACCCTATATGATATATTTTTAATCGATTTCATCAATATTTAGATTTCTTTTTCCATTTACGTTACCAGATTCGATTTGATATCTAATTTTGCAAACAAAGTAAAGAAGATCATACGATTATTTATTAAGAATGGAGCCTGTGAAAGAAATTTAATAAATATTTTAGCATTACCATACTGCAATTACTAGGCTCAAATCTATCTTTCAGTTTCTCCATTGACGGTTTAAGTGCGGCTGGTTTACGAGTCATTTTGCAGCCAGTCAAAGATGGAAGACCTGATGGATTTTTCCGGGTTCTTTGGGGAACTAAGGACCCTTCAAATCGAATGTGGATGGAGGCAGAAGTACTTTATACCTATAATAGAGACCATCAAGTAAGTTTTGTCTCTAAATTCCAAATTTGTAATCAATTATGGACGTATGGGACGGTCAAGCAGATCGTTTGACCACGAAACTCGGAGGAAAAACCTAAAGGGGAAAGGAAAGACGAATATATTAACACACGAGCTATTTTTGACGATGTCTCATAGTGAGTCCGAGTAAAAATGAATTAGCTTGACATCAGGCTGACTCTTTTTTACTAGGGAGGAGAACTTACGAAACCGAACTGACCAGAAAAAGACGAGAAAAACTGAAAAAGTACCTACCTCTATTTCAAAATTCACTTACTAAAATAAATGTGATTTTTATTTCAGTATTCAAATAAAAAAGAACACGGTGACAGGAGGGTGCGTCCATTAGATAACCAATACAGCGTGTCCCAAAAGACCCTACCACCCTCTCTAAAATTTTACCTAGTTATTATTTTTAAACGAAACTTTGAGGATGTTCATTGTTCATAGATCAATGGTGGATCTTTGGGCCCCCCACCTTACGGCTATGGACCCCAGTTTTTTTTTCAAATGGCAACCCCCCCCCCCCGCCCCCACCTCTTTGTGGCACATCAATCAGAAAAGGATAAAGGAAAGAAACTTTTTGGTGCAAACCGAAAATCTTGATATTTGACAAAATGGCGACCGGTTGAAGTTCAGAATAGAGGAAAAATGAATATTTTCGTTATTCACGTGAAATTTCGTGACATTAGGTATCCGGGTGCGTTTTGGCACGAGAAACCCGAATTTGGCACTAGGCTATTGAAGAAACAGTTTTTTCCTAAATTGCGGCTGTAAAAATGACGGTTAAAGAGAAAACTACGATATCTCAGCCACTTGCTCATGGATTTGTATGAAAGAGGCTGTCCCATTTTCCATAAGGTATGGCCGCAAGAGATGTTACATCCATACTTTCGGGAATCATAATGGATCATTGGAGAGGCCTAAATCCGGTGACCTTTCACGTCTAGCTTTCCAGGGGCCCTGCTAAAAATGACCATGTTGGTAACAATTTGGTCTGGCCCAACATGGTAGCAACAGGGTGAATAGAAACTGTTATCATTTATGATATCAACATGTTATCAACATGATATCAACATGTTACCAATATGATATCTTACACTGAAAAAAAAGTTCCAAAATGCCAAAATGCTGCAATTTAGGCGCGCTGCACGTTCTTAGGCTTAATTATCATCGCAGACACCATCTGGTTCAAGGATTATAGAAGCAATGATATTGTTGCAATTCTGTACATCATTAAGTTTCACAATGAAGGATACGAAAATAATATAAAGTAAATCAAGTTTTTGAAAGAGAGGAGTACGAACAACACATGAAAAAAATAAAATAAAATATGGACGTATAAATAGTTATTAAAATGAAAATATGAGAAACGAAAAAAGATAAATAAAGAATATAAATTGATGAAAAATGAATAATATTATTGATATAATTTATTATAATATATTATGATTTGTTATATTATATATTATATTTATTATATTATGATTTATCATATTAATAATATAAATTTTCAATATTATTTATAATAATATTTGTAATTACTTCCTGGTCCCATCTTAATTGAGCAACATTCTTTTGACTTAAAGCCGCGCGCAGATATAAATGAAATTTTATTCAATGCACAAAAGAGTTTTGAAAGTAAAATAGATAAAAAAAAAGTCTAAAGAAAAGGGAGGAGTGTCGTTTTGGGCCTTTTCCCCACCTGGATTTTGCTGAATGTTTCATATTTTCAAAGTACTAGTCCTAGGTAGACTTTATGCCAAATATTTTACCGAACGGAGCCCATGCAAAGGTGCAACAACGCCTCAAACCCAGAATCTTGGCATCGAAAAATAGTTATTTTCGTCGACTTTTTCGACTATTATCACGCTTTCAGCAGACGATTCCTATGTATTTTTTGCGTACTTTCCCTAGAGGCCTCCAATAAATTTTAAGGGGCCTTATGGCCCATTGTTGCCATTTTTGGCCCATTTTTAGGGATTTTTTTCAATTTTACACACGCAGAAATCTATTTAAACTAAGAACCATGTACGTTTTTGAAAAGAACGCAAAAATATGAATGAAAAATGTTCAGTACAACTTTTCCCTACGTTGCCAAATTTTCGATAAAAATCGTCCTAAAGAGCCAAAAATGGCAAAAAATCGTCCCACAGAGCCAAAAATGGCAAAAATTCGATAAATTGCCACGCTTAAGGTTCAAGAAAGTGGGGTACAGCTTTTATATTGACGTACGTAACAGCTCTTACCTACATATACAACGTATCGAAAAATTATAGTTGTACCTGGATTCCTACGATGTGAAAATTGACTGGGATGTCGATTTTAGCGGCCTTTTCTTACTTGAAGGTAGCTCTTTTGAATGTTTTTCGACCTTAGTCACCCTCTATGGGTGTGTACTATGGGTACTTTTCTACGTACTTACTTTTCATATCTGGCCATAAAAATGGCTTCCTGTGAATTTTAAAAGGCCTAACGGTCCATTGTTGCCAATTTTCACCAATTTTTACGGGTTTTTTCAAGTTAACGTGTGTGAAACTTAATTTAATCTAAAAACCGTGTACATTTTCGGAAAGAACGTAAAAAAATACATAAAAATGTGATGTGTAACTTTTCTCTACGTTGCCAAATTTTCGAGAAAAATCGTCCTGAAGCGCCAAAAATGCCAAAAATTGGATTAATCATCACGTAGAAGGTTCCAAGAAGTGAATATTAAGTTTTCTTTCACTACAAATAACATATCAAAAATGGAAAATTGTAATGCGTCTCACGGAGCATGTAATCGCTCAGATGAACGTGACAAAAGGGACCCTCAAGGTGCTTAATTAGATAAGTGCTTTAGGTGCTTTCCTTCACTCCAGTTCACCTCTTTATTCCTGTAACCTCGAGGTAATCCTTGGTTCTCAAGATGCTTGCTACAGGCCAAATATACCAAACAATAGAAACTGCGTTGCGAATGTGTTCCACGATCCACATGAAAGTCAAAATTCACTTTCTAAAACCTTCTACATGATGATTAATTTAATTTTTGGCATTTTTGGCGCTTCAGGACGATTTTTCTCGAAAGTTTGGCAACGTAGGGAAAAGTTACACATCACATTTTGATGTATTTTTTTGCGTTCTTTCCGAAAATGTATACGGTTTTTAGATTAAATTAAGTTTCACACACGTTAACTTGAAAAAACCCGTAAAAATTGGTGAAAATTGGCAACAATGGACCGTTAGGCCTTTTAAAATTCACAGGAAGCCATTTTTATGGCCAGATATGAAAAGTAAGTACGTAGAAAAATACCCATAGTACACACCCATAGAGGGTGACTAAGGTCGAAAAACATTCAAAAGAGCTACCTTCAAGTAAGAAAAGGCCGCTAAAATCGACATCCCAGTCAATTTTCACATCGTAGGAATCCAGGTACAACTATAATTTTTCGATACGTTGTATATGTAGGTAAGAGCTGTTACGTACGTCAATATAAAAGTAGTACCCCACTTTCTTGAACCTTAAGCGTGGCAATTTATCGAATTTTTGCCATTTTGGGCTCTGTGGGACGATTTTTATCGAAAATTTGGCAACGTAGAAAAAGTTGTACTTACTGAACATTTTTAATTCATTTTTTGCGTTATTTTCAAAAACGTACACGTTTCTTAGTTTAAATTGATTTCTGCGTGTGTAAAATAGAAAAGAGCCCCAAAAATGGGCAAAAAATGGCAACAATGGACCATAAGGCAACTTAAAATTTATCGGAGGCCTCTAAAAAGGCCAGAAACGGAAAGTACGCAAAAAAAAAAATACAAAGGAATCGTCTGCTGAAAGCGTGATAACAGTGAAAAAAGTCGACGAAAATAACTATTTTTCGATGCCAAGATTATGGGTTTAGGCGTTGTTACACCTTTGCATGGGCTCCGTCCGGTGAAATATTTGGCATAAAGTCTACCTAAGACTAGTACTTTGAAAATATGAAACATTCAGCAAAATCCAGGTGGGGCCGGAAAAGGCCCAAAACGACACTCCTCCTTTACTCACAGAAAAAATATCAATATGGATTTCAAAAATTAATAAGGCCACAAATGCAAGAATAAGAAAATCGTCTTTGAACATATCTATGGATCAACTCGTACAATAATAAGACGCCAACTGAACGTTTCCGACTTTCTCAGAATATATACAGGATGCGGCAAAAGTCCCGGGACCCCTATTTAATTTTTTTTTCGGCTGCAGCTAGGAAAATGAAATTTGGGGGGTAGTCCTAGGTCAATGAAAGCTACTTTTTGACCCCCCAAAATATTGGGGGCCCCCCCTTTGGGGGGGGGGGTTACGGACCCTAATTTTTTTTTTTCAAATGGGAAGACCCCCTTTGTGATACCTCGTTCGAAAGAGCATAAGAAAAGAAAATTTTTCGCGTAAACCCGAAGTCATTATCTCAAACCGTTTCAAAATGGCGGCCGGTCAAAGTTCAAAATGGCCGAAAATTGGCACCTCTGCTATTTGCACATGGATTTACTTGAAACTCGGTATCTGTAGGTATTTTGGCACGAGAAAAACGAATTTGACGTCAGATTTTTTAAAAAAACCCCTATTTTTTCAAAATGGCCGCCGGTTTAGGCTGAAAGTGGACGAAAATTAGACAAACTCGATTTCTTGCCAATGGATTCACCTGAAATTCGGTTTCTGGGGGTATTTTGACCCGAGAAGAACGAATTCGACATTAGATTTTTAAACAAACCCACAAAATTTTTCCAGTGCAATTTTATCAGTATGTTCCTATGATGGGAACAACAGATACCAACTTTACATCAACTCTTTATCATGAAGGTAAGAAAGTCCAAATTGATATCATCATGTTACCATATTTGTGCAATGTTGTTGACAACATTTTTTTTAAATCATGTTCATATCATATTGGGACTTGCCGTATTGCTAGCATGTTGGTATCATGTTGGTCTTTTACCCCAAGTTGATATCACGTTGATACCATGTTGAC